GAGAAAAATCTTCAGCCGCCATGCCCACTTAGTTAACTAATTGAAAAGCTATACTCCTCTCCCTCCTAGAAAAAAGATCTTAGGCACGATTAATGTTTACCTGTTGATTGTAGGAGTCAAAAAAATAAAACTTTTGATGGAAAATCATAGTAATATGGTGGGGACTTTATGTCTAATTCTATAAAGGCCTAAATCAAGCAATTTCTTTTCAATTACTCCCCCTCCTCCCTAATCTTATTTTCAATCACACAGTTAATCCTTGTAGGTAGAAACCTTGGTAATTAAACTTGACATAGCTAATGGACTGCTAAAAATATCACTACAGTTGATTGCAATCTTACGATATGTTGCTATTAAGTAAACTTGGTATCTTCAGAGTTCAGACTATTAATAATTGTTTCTCACACCAGACTCCAGAGGAAGGAAGATATTATAAAATAGTTATACAACAACTATCAAGCTATTAAGTAAAATCACACAAGGGTCAGGAAGGATAGAGTGAATGCAAATCTTACCCCTACCCCGAGAGAAAAGAAATGTTGTTTCCGATAGACCATCGGCTCAAGAAGACGAAAAGAGACAATATATTAATACTATCAACAGAAACCATAGAAATAATAACAACATCATAAAGACCAGAAAATAGATGAAAAGCAATAACAATAACCAGTAAATAAGGCTCGGTACTATAAAATATGGAAGAATAGCGTGAACACAACATTAACCACTAGCAGTCTAAGACGAAACCCTACCAGACTAGCCTCACACCTGGTACGAAGTAGAAGAATGCTCAACTACCTCCTAACCTACAACTTAATGCTCGACCTGCACACCTTCCTATTAAGGGTTATGTCCTTGAAAAATTATAAAATAGTTGGTTATTATATTTAACAATGTATATGAAATATTATGTTCTCGATCACAATCTCATAAGGTTAAATAAATAAACAACTTTTCAGAAATAATGAGTCTTAAAACTTTTTCACAATTAGGTAATCTCTAATTTATGTTATAGTTCAAAGCTTTTTTGAAATTGACTTAGTTGTCACAAGATAAACAAAAAGGTTGATAAAATTTAAGTTGGCCTAGCTTAGAATATTGACTTAGTGAATTGTCCAATCTTCTTTCTTGTTTAGTGGATAAAGATTCATTTTTATCGTCCCTATATGGAGTGTGGTGGGTGGGATATCCATTACGGTAGGACCCACGAAAATTATTGGGTCCAGGCAAGAGCCGCATCCCTAGAGATATAATATAACAGTCTACCTTAGTACAAGAATTAGTACGGCTAAATTATAAAACTTTCTATAATCAGTGCAGCTTTTATTAACAAATAACAATTCATGAAGATCCAAAACCAAAAATAAAAAATAGAAAACAAAAAAAATTACTAATTTAAAAGTTCTGAGTATGCCTAATTTCTTAATTTCTTTTTTTTTTCCTCTTCCTCTTTTGCACTACCCCTTCTCTTTTTCTTTATCTTTTCTTTTACATTAATTAGCTTCCCTTGGATTCCCACTTTACCTTAAGTATGTTCTTTAGTAGCAATTATTATAATAAAATATTCCATGACATGGGAAAACAATAATATAAACATGTGACATATGCCCTTATAAATTAAATATTTTAATCCTATCACTTAATTTGTTAGGTATCGAGTTGGCTAACATGTATTGATTGATGCACTTTAATTGTACCCAAATAAAAAATAAAAAAAATAAAGCAAAAGAAAACACCTTGTTACTTCGAACTTTCTTACCTTTGAACTGGGTTTTTATCCATTTCCCTTATAAATATTCCACCATTTTTCTTCGTAACACTTACCTCCTCCTCTTCTTCTTCTTCTTCTTCTTCTTCTTCTTCTTCTTCTTCTTCTTCTTCTTATCTTCCTTTATTCTTCTTCATTTTTAATATTTCTTTCTTTTTCCTCCCTTCTTTATTTGGGGGATTTCAAGAAATAAATGGCAATGTTAGGAGGTGATAATTATGCTTGTTTTCATAGGAGTGGAAGTTTTAATGAAAATGAAAGAAGCAAGAACAAGAGAATTGAAAGAGGATGAATTGAACAAATGCAAATCTTAGGCAAGTCTGACGCTTGGCTTCATTTTTTATATTCAAAACTTCGTTTGAATTACATCTTCTTTTTTTTTTCTTTTTTTCTTTTTCAATTTCTAATCTTTGTTTTGATTTTCGAGGAAAAAGAAAAGTAAGGCAAAGGAAAGAATCCAGAGATTAAGACTCTTTGGGATGTCTAGTTAATTTCTTTTTCTTCTTTGTTTTTTTTCTTGTGTTTTGTATTTTGTAAGTGATAAAGAAACCTTGTAAAACTCGCAGAGCTGTTCAAAAGTTTACATATTGAACAATTAATGTGTTGTCGAAAAAAAAAGAGAAAATTTATGTGGGTTAATCCCCATCCCCTTTTTTCACGTCTTTCCTAGGGCACTTTAACTGTAATTCTACTGGCCTACTTAATTCAAATTTGCACCCCGCAGACGAATCTTAATTTCTAAGTAAATCAAAGTAAATTATGTGGTTCAACAACAATAATAAAGCATCTCTTGATATTCTGGCTTAATTACTTTTTAAGATTGATGCGTGTTAGTAATTAAAAAAAATTGCTCCTAGAAATAATAGTAGTTAATTTTTTTGTATATATGTACATTATATACAAAAATAGACATATTTTATATATTTTTCGGTTACTAAATACAATTAGTTTCATCCGACTGGCAGTTTTATATTTTGCCCTATGAATAACTGCATTCCTGACTAATGAGCTTAAGATCTGTAGTAATTTTTTTCTATAAAATATAGGATAATACTCTATTGAGTCTTGACAATTATTTAGGAACTGGCAAAGAAAGTGGATGACTTATTATTTCATATTCCTTAAGCAATGCTATATATTTCAACAAAATACTTCATGTCGTGCAGAACAATTAGAAAGTATCACTAACTTAGTGAAGAAGCAATAAATTAATATCAACATAGTGGTGAAAGGTTTTACATAGATATCTTGACTAGAAGTTTCGGGTTCGAGCTCTAGGCATGAAATCGTCTTTATTAGAGAGCGTTTTACCCTTAATATGAAACTTTCCGGCACAAATCTAAATTTACTCGGAGATCGAACACCCGACAAAAAATCAGAAAAAAGGTGACATAGACATCAACTTGTATATTAATAAACAAAAGATACAAGCGAGTAGGGTTAAGAACATCAACATTGTTCACCTACTGAAATATAATAGGAAAAGCACATCAAAATCATTTATAAAAAAAATTGTGCTCTATGATACAGATTTGAGGATGAAAAGATATCCTAACAATTACGTAGTATGTACCATATATCAAAAGAACAACGCACAAAGAGATTTCTCCTAATTTTAATTTTGAAAAGTTGATTAGTTTATCTCTTTCAATTTTCGAAGTACTTAACTTTCATTTTTTTTAATTAGTGCCTTGGTATTTTTAGGAAGTTAAAAATGATCACTATATACTGAAAGATTAATTTGGTCACTTGGATTTTGATTTGACCATTTGAATTTTTCATCGTTCTATACTCCTATGGTGTTGAGTCTATTGAGATGTATGTCACCTTTTTCGGGCAGGTGATTATTTTACAGGATTTATTTGCCTTTTAAAGAAAGAAAATTACTCCTTCAAAAAGATTACTAATTTTTTTTTATCAAGTAATCTAAGGTAAAACCATAATTGTCATGGCCAAACTTTAGGATAAGGATGATGATTATTTTTTACCTCTCCGTTTTTGTTGTCTCATTACCAGGAAGTTTATTGGAAAAACAAATAATTGATCGTGCTTTTGTTGATGTACGTGTCACAATTAGCGGAAAACGACTAGTAACTAAGATGGTTTAATTAATTTAAAGAAAGAAACAAGAAAACAAGAATGAAGTAATCTACAGGCAATCAAATGATAATTTTCTATTGGTTAATGACTCGTCAACATTAGAATAAGCTTAGATTAATCATTAGAGTGCCTAATTAGTTGAAATGAGAGTTCACGAGCTTTATTAAACGTTTTCTTATTGTCCCATTGTCCATATACGTTTCTCCCTACTCCCTAGTATTTCCCTTATATATGACATTGAGTTTTCTATTAAAAAAAATATTTTTGTTAGTGTTCACTTTTATCCTAATAATAATGGAAGGCTTTTAATAAATTATAATGTCACATAAGTTCTTCGAATTTGGATCTCCTTGTATTATGATTGTACAAAAGCCATGCGTGTTGCGATATTGATCCTTGTACATGATACGTCGACTTGAATAAGGATTCGTTATGCTGGTGGATGTCAATCATAACCCCTAGCTTTGGGTCGTGACATAGGTGGTATGACACCATTTTCACATAACCATCAATAGGTGGCTGCCCCCATTCACTGACTTGTTCATTGTCATTGTCCCCACCTTGAAACGTGAATTTGGTTAGGATTTTTAAGTTGTTCAACCATGATTGCTACCTTCAGAAGTTAACGAGACAAACAAAACTAACAAACAAAAAATAACAACTGGAACAAGGAATGTTAATTAAAACACAATGGTAATCTCTTAACACAGATTGCTCTCCCATAATACTGCCAAATGTTTAATTACCTAATTTGCTTGATATCTCCACAATGGTCTTAATTCTCCAGTACCCATTATCAATATAGGATCTCTACACGAATAATTTTCCTAGCCGTAAAAAAAGACTATACACTATTTATACATGTTTATACACACAGTATACATATATTATTTTTAATTTAAACAGTTGAGTGTGCGGCTATTTTAAATTAATTCTTCTATCAAGAATATCCCAATTAATAGCCAGTTTATCCCCAACCTAACTCTCCCATGTTCGGTTGAGTTGAAAGTTGAAACTCGGTGCATACTGCAATTTCAGAGTAGAAGCCAAACTGCATTGAGAAGTCTCTTCTCAATCACATTGGACTATCTCAAACTGAATTTAGTGCAATGAGAATTCAGAGTCAGATTACTAAAATTAGAACAAAAATTCCTGTAATCTACAAAATTTTGCTGTTGTACTACAATTTAATTTAGTTCATAACAGTAATTGTTCAATTGGAAAGTAAAACACTACAAAATCCTAGCATTTAGGCACCTTATTACAGCATTCTGACAAAATTTCCTAGCAAAAAGTTCAAATTAGACTCTTGGGACCAAAGCTTGGATTTTAGAGTACACAACTATTGAACGATACATGTCCCTCTGGGGGATATCCGACAAAATTGGAATGATGCAGAGAAGAACAGCATGGCCCTTGCGCGAAGCATGAAACGCACAAATCGAGAAATTATCCCAGAAAACTATTGAAGGATACAGTTGTCCTAAACCATTTTAGTCTTCTCTCCAATTGTTGCCACACATCTTATTCTTGCATTTGTAAAATGTAGTCATGGGCTCATCTGCTGATCTTATTTGCACTTGATAATATGCTGCTTCCCTGTAACCACACGCTGGACATGGCACTGCCAAGAGCAAATAAAACAACAAAAAGACAAGAGAAAAAGATGCATATCAGCCTTAAATTGTAGCCTGGTGTCTAAAATAGAAATAACTCCAATTTATGTTTTTGGTAACAACATTAGTGCCTCCGGCATATAAAGTTCCAGCATCACAACACTTACTACGACCATTTAAAAGATCTCTCGGACTTGTTTACAAGTCCCAATTAGAAAGGTAATCACACAAATACACACACACATATTCAAATAAATATTTCTCTCCTCAGAAACAGAAAACGCTAAGAATCTTCTTTTAGCTGCTCAAGGTCGTCATCATTACAAATACCAAACGACCAATTCATAATGTTCCCTTTACCTCACTTTATTTGGTTTGAATTGAACTTCAGAGATTAAAATAGAAAATTTGAATGTTTTGTAATATTTGAATTTGCAAGATACTCTGTTTATTCCTAAGCGTCTTTCTTGTTGGGGCAGCACCATTACTAAAGAAGAGTTGGAGTTCTTTTATACTTAAATAGAAATGAGTCCCAAATTAGAATGATTTGAAGACTGTAAACTCTTTTATAGGTGCATCATGCTCTTTCGATAGTAGAATCTATGTTGCTCAAACTCTCTAAAAATGTCGCTAGATGCGTGTCGTATCCTGCAAAAGTAATGTATTTTTGGAGGATCTGACACGGGTGCGGCAGCATTTTGGAGAGTCCGTGCAACATAGAGTAGAATAACAGAAGTGTCGAAAACCCTTACGAAACACTTATAGTTAGGAAGTGAACAGAACTTTGAGACAACCTAAAGAAAGGATAATAGTAAATTTGAACAGAGGGTGTTATTACAGTATTAGTTTGACTTTGTCAAGGTTGTAGTATTGTCATTTTAGCAAAGAGATCCATATTTTGGAGAATACTCAGCAGCTATTAACTCAAACAACATGGGAAAGAAGGAGCAGTACTTTCGGATCTTAAATTTTCCAACTCATAGCTGTTAATTAGTACCCCTTCATGTGAACAAAAGACAAGATAAAAATTCTGATACTATTGGATCGCAAGTACTTGGCCTTTCATAAAATTCCATATTTCATTTTTTCTTTAGACCAACTCATCAAAGCATTAATTAGGTGAGCCTCTTATTCATATAACATCTTCATTCCCTGTAACCACACGCTGGACACGGCACTGCCAAGAACGAATAATACAGCAAAAGGCAAGAGAAAACAATGCATATCAGCCCTACATTGTTGCGCGGTGTCTAAAACAAAAATAGCAAAGCACATGTTTTTCAGACAGCTTTAGTGCTAAAGTTCAAGCATCACAACACTTGCTACTACCATTCAAAAGATCTCTTTGACTTGTTCGATTAGAAAGTGAATCACACAAAGACTGAAAACACATGCACACACATATATACAAATAAGAAGTTTCTCTTTCTGAGAAACAAAAAAAAATAAGAATCTTCTTTTACCTGCACAAGATCGTGAACATTACAAATACCAAACTACCAATTCAGACTGTTCTCTTTATATCTCATTTTATTTGGTTTGCGTAGATCTTCAGAGATTAAAAGAGAATTTGAATGTTCTGTAAGTTTTTAGACTCTATACTTTCTTATAGGTGCATGTTGCTCTTTTGATAGTATAATAACAGAAGTGTCAAAAACCATAAAGAAACAATCAGAATCAGGAAGTGAACACAAATTTGAGACAACCTAAACAAAGGATTATAGTTAATTTTGGACAGCGGGTGTCATTACATATCAGTTTGACTTTGTAAAGATGGTAATATTGCCTTTTTAGCAAAGAGATCCATCTTCTGGAGAACACAGAAATTAAGTCAAACAACATGGGAAAAAAGGAGCAGTACTTTCAGATCTTAAACTGTCTAACTCATAGCTGTTAATTTAGTACCCCTCATGTGAACTAAAGACAAGATAAAAAATCTGATACTACCGGCTTGCAAGTACTTGGCCTTTCATAAAATTCCATATTTCATTTTTCTTCAAACCAACTCATCAAAGCATTTAATTAGGTGAACCCTCTTGTTCATATAGCATCTTCATCGACAAATTCAGAAAAGGACAAAATGGGGAAGAACAGCAAGAATGAACCAAAGAGAAAAGAAACTGAAGCTATCAAGAAAAGTGTGAATAAGATTTTCCAAAAAGTAGCATTGCAAGCACAATGACTTCATCTTAAAGGCTTAGCTAATCGAGCTAAAATGAAAAGACTGACGTAACTTGTAAAAGTTGTGTAATCCGCCAATATGACATAAAATAACCACTAAGCAGACAGCTATTATGTTCAAAGGCTGAAATTCATGTTGGAAAATAAACTTTGGCACACCATCTGTATTCTAATACAATATGCAGCATGACAAATATTGAATAAAGGCAACGCCATAATGTTTCCAAAGTTGCATCTGTATATAGAGGAAGGCAAAGAAGGGACACAAAGGAGTCAACCCAAGCATTAAGATGGATTCCTTTCACTAGAAAACCTTATGATATTTCATAGAACCAAGTATTACTATCACAATTTCATACCGACATTCTTTAATTTTAAACTGTCACCGTGATTTTATCAAAGTTACCTCAATCTATGTATATGTACACACGTACATAAGAATCAACTACAAACTAATTGAGAGAATAAATCTCTGTAAAAAAAAACATCAAATATATGGCCTAGGAGGCAAGCTATTGAATCTAATCAATTCATTTGTCTCAACAACCTAGAACAAAAAATCAAAGACAGCATAATTTATACTCAGTCTTCTAGAATTATGGACAGCAAACAGGCGACGTGAAAGAATTAATAGAAGAAGACTTTTTTTTTTTTTACCAATCAGTAAAACTACAAATTGATACAAAAAGAATGTGATTGCAAGAATCAAAAGAGTGTTTCACAGACACTCAACCACACAACCAACAAATATCAGCTGTCAAATGATAATAAATAAAGTAAATAGTTTTCTTTTATACTTTACTAGTTATTAGGGTAGACTGTCTACATCACACACCTTGGGGTGAGGCCCTTCCCCGTACACTGTGTGAATGCAGGATGCTTTGTGCACCGCGCTGCCCTTTTATTAGTTATTAGTCCAGTAATATATAATCTTATCAGAACATTCAAGCAATTACAAGTTCTTAGAAGAAGGGCCTATATTTACTCATAAGAAGAAGGGCCTATATTTACTCATACTTTAAGTTTTGCTTTATCCTTATAAAACAAACAGTCAAGAGCCAGTTATACCCTATACCCTACAGCCCATTAAACTCAATGGACAACCAATTATAAACATAAAACATTCAATATTATATATACACATCTTTCTTCTCTAACTATAAGTACTCCAGAGGTTTTTCGAAATAATCAGCAATAATTTGGTTGTTGTTATAAATAGTTTGTACATTGGATGCTACATTGGATGCCCATATTGTGAATAACATAGTTTGTACATTGGATGCCCATGTTGTGAATAGCTTAAAGATTAAATCTCCTACTTTATGTCCATCATCTTTACTTTTTATGCCTACAAAAGGCTATGTAATTGCAATGGAAAGATACCAAAGTGAAAGAAGAAAAGACTTCTTCTTTCTTTCTATCTCTTCTTATTTACATTTTACTGCATTACTTTTATTTATAACACGTTATCAGCGCGAAGCTCTAATTTTATTCTTAACTCCCGCTAAGTTGAGCCATATTTTATTAAGGTATGTATCATTATAATCATTTTATTTATGGCAGTAGATATCATATGCTCATTGTTTGTAGATTACTTGTGCTCTTGGGCATCTTAAATAGTTCAAGTACATTGCAGTGATAAAATAACTATTTCCTTCCGTACTCAACTCTTAGAGGACCTCAAAGCCATCAAACTAGCTATGCACTAATGACATACTTATAATATTCATGGACTTCCTGGATCAAAACATATCTTTAAGGCATTTTGAAGAACTGTGAGAAATGAATTGACAAGCAATAATTTTATAGTTTAATTACTTTATATTTATTGGAACATATAAATAATGTTAGTCACGTTCAATTCTATTAACACATATATATCAATAATATAAAGTGAAATGAAACAAGTATGTAATTTCTACTTTATGGCAAGAATAAAAGGAAATAGTAAATTGTTAATATGATATAGCTCTATTTTCATTTCTTTTACCTTAATCGTTTTGTTTTCATTAATTGTTTATTATTATAATTATTTCTCTAACTTATTCATCTTTTATGATAGTTTTCACTATGTCAAATTTATCAAAACTTGAATTTGTGGCACTTGACATCACCGGGAGGAACTATTTATCATGGGTCCTTGATGCTGAAATTCACCTTGACGCTAAAGGTCTTGGAAATACTATTATACAAGGAAATGAAGCATCAAATCAGGATAAAGCGAAGGCCATGATTTTCCTTCGTCATCATCTACATGAAGGGTTAAAAACTGAATATTTAACCGTAAAAGATCCACTTGAATTATGGATTAATTTGAAGGATGCATATGACCACCTAAAACTTTCGGTATTACCGAAAGCTCGGTATGAGTGGATACATTTAAGGCTGCAAGACTTTAAAACCGTAAGTGAGTATAATTCTGCTATCTTTAAAGTAAGTTCTCTATTAAAATTATGTGGAGACACTATCATAGATGAGGACTTATTGGAAAAAACATTTTCTACTTTTCACCCTTCAAATGTGGTGCTACAACAACAATACCGTGAAAAAGGTTTTAAGAAATATTCTGAGTTAATCACATGCCTACTTGTGACAGAGTAGAATAATACTCTATTAATGAAAAATCATGAAGCCCGTCCCACTGGGTCAGCTCCATTTCCGGAAGTGAATGCTGTAGCAGCATATGATAAGTTTGAAAGAAAACAAAATAATTACCGTGGTCGTAGACATGGTCGTAAACGTGGACATGGCAGGGGACGAAACAATTATCGTCATTATGGTGAAAATATATTGGAGAACAATAAGGGTTCTCAAATTAATCATTCAAAAGATAAAATTAGTATGTGTCACCGATGTGGTATGAATGGTCATTGGGCACGCATTTGTCGTACGCCAGATCATTTTGTCAAACTTTATCAAGCCTCCCTCAGAAAAAAAAGAAAATAATGTGGATGCAACTTGACCTTTCAAAATAATGATGATGAAGCAGGTCCTTCTAACAAATATGATTCTAAGGCACATCTTGCATATAAAGATGATGATTATGGAGGCCTAACAAATATTACTCATTTAGAAGCTGGAGACTTCTTTGAGGATATTGACTGAAGAACTAATCATCTTACTGGGGAATGAAGCTATAAAAGTTGTTATTTTTATGTTTGCAACTAGTTTATTTTTCTTGAATGTATTTTACTAATGCATCATGTGTTGCTAGTTTTTACATTCCTAATGTATTTTTTAATGTTTTTTTTGTTTGTGTTTCATATTTCTTATGATGTATTTTTTGTTTTTTTATGAAGAATATGAAAATTCCCCAATCTTCAGTTGGACTCAAGATTAATAAAGATGATATATGTCTTCTGGATAGTGCTACAACACACACTATTTTAAAAGATAAGAGATATTTCTCTTATTTGGTAATGAAAGAAGCGAATGTTAATACAATATCCGGTAGTACAAGATTAATTGAAGGTTCTGGAAGAGCCAATTTATTACTACCAGGAGGAACAAATTTGGCTATTGATGAAGCACTATATTGTAGTAAATCTCAAAGAAACTTATTAAGTTTCAAAGATATTCGCCAAAATGGCTATCATATTGAGACTACAAATGATGAAAAGATTGAATATCTTTATATTACTACAATAATGTCCGGTAAGAAATATGTGCTTGAAATGTTACCTGCTCTTTCCTCCGGCTTATACTACACAAGTATTAGCAGGATTGAAACACATGTCGTAGTAAACGAGAAGTTTACTAATCAAGATAATTTTATTATTTGGCATGACCGGTTGGGCCATCCTGGTTCTAATATGATGCGTAAAATAATTGAGAATTCACATGGACATGCAATGAAGAATCAGAAGATTCTTCAACTTAAGGAATTGTCTTGTGCTGCATGTTCTCAAGGAAAATTAATTATTAGACCATTAACTATTAAAGTTAGGATG